TCCAGCATCCTATTCTCACAGTGCCCTCCCAGATGCCTGTGGGAAACTCCCAACCAAGACCTGCGCATAAGAGCATGTAGGTTCCAGAAACTGATGTTCAGAAGCATTGCTGCCTCTGACTGTTAAGGGTTTACATTGCACTGGGTGACCTTGGTCCAGTCACCATCTCTCAACCTAACCTACCACACAGAGTTGTGGTGAGTGTAAAATGGAAAGGGGGAGAACCACATATGCCACTTTGGGCTCCTTGGAGGAAAGGTGGGATAGAATCATTAGTACAGTGGTACCTTGGGTTACAGACGCTTCAGGTTACAGACGCTTCAGGTTACAAACTCCACTAACCCAGAAATAGTACCTTGGGTTAAGAACTTTGCTTCAGGATGAGAACAGAAATTGTGCGGTGGCGGCGGGAGGCCCCATTAGCTAAAGTGGTACCTCAGGTTAAGAACAGTTTCAGGTTAAGAATGGACCTCCAGAACGAATTAAGTTCTTAACCCGAGGTACCACTGTAATAGTAGTAGTAGAATTTCTCTTTCCAGTTTTGCCTGTCACATTTTCAGTCTAGCACTTAAGAAATAGCAAAAAAAATTGTCAAACAAAATCACATTCATTTTATACTTTAAAAAATAGTAATAGCTCTTGTAGCTTAATTAGAAAAAAGTGCTGAGAAATACCAGTGAACTTAGGATTTGTTGCTATACATACTGACGCTACTGTGCACATAACAAAATGGCTGTTTGGAGAAGAGGTATAACCACAACTCCTCTGAGCTATGCTGGGATTCTGGCTTGAATCTCAGTGGATACTCAGAAAGTATGCTGCCAGTTGTGCACACACACACACACACATACACAATCAATGAACCTCGAGTTATCAGTCTAGCTGCCACTCTGACTTTGATTGCCTTTAAGTGTATGATGGCAAAGGGCCGATTGTGAGAAGATGCTATTAAATTTGCATTAAATTGTTACTAAATTCATAATAATATCTGTGAATACCAACTAGCCTCATAATGATAGGCCGGGAACAAAATTACAGAAAATTGTAGTCTCTCTTTGCTTAGAAATTCTGCCTATTATGATGAAAATTGTGAGGGGAAACCCAGGCAAACTGTTTAGTATTATAAGAAAGTAACAGTATTCATATCTGACCTCTGGTCTGTAATAAAGATGATTGCAAAAAGCTGTGTGCTGATCAGAGGAGGCTTGGCCCCTGGCTCTACTCCCCTAAGCTAGTTCCATCCCTTTCTCACCAGCTCACTTTTCACCTCCTGTTCCCTGAGTACAGCATTTTACTGAGGTGAAAATTCTGTGCCTAGGCTCTACCATTTCAGCTTGAAGGTGGCAGCTCACACAACAGAAATGTTCTTCACAAAGAAAACTAGTGTCAGGGAGAAGGGTCTGCAGAGGACAAATGCCCATTTGTAGCGACAGTTTAGATACAAGCCACTCCTGCAGACGCACATTGCTAGACTCACTGTTTACGTCAATCAGTTGATTGGCACAGACAGTGAGCACCTTCAATGTCATCATCTGGTGCCATAATGACATCAAGTGGTTGACAATGGAAAGCTCCACCCACCTGGAAATTTGGAAATGGGGTTCCTGGACATAGGACGGGACACACCAGTGGGCACTTTGCTGAGGCCCCCTCATATCAGGATCAGGTCATGTCCTGACAGCCGGAACATCAGAGCAAGTCATCTAGTCAGAGCAAGTCATCTAGTCTAGTCAGTTCAAGAAGGACACTGACAAACTCGAACGTGTCCAGAGGAGGGCAACCAAAATGGTCAAAGGCCTGGAAACGATGCCTTATGAGGAACGGCTAAGGGAGCTGGCATGTTTAGCCTGGAGAAGAGGAGGTTACGGGGTGATATGATAGCCATGTACAAATATATAAAGGATGTCACATAGAGGAGGGAGAAAGGCTGTTTCTGCTGCTCCAGAGAAGCGGACACGGAGCAATGGATCCAAACTACAAGAAAGAAGATTCCACCTAAACATTAGGAAGAACTTCCTGACAGTAAGAGCTGTTCGACAGTGGAATTTGCTGCCAAGGAGTGTGGTGGAGTCTCCTTCTTTGGAGGTCTTTAAGCAGAGGCTTGACAACCATATGTCAGGAGTGCTCTGATGGTGTTTCCTGCTTGGCAGGGGGTTGGACATCTAGAAAGACTGGATAAGCAGATGAAGCAGAGATGGAAAAAGCAAAGCCAGAACTACATATTACCTGTAGTTCCATGGTTATTTTCCTGTGGACTTTCCTTCTTAGAATAAAGCAGCTGCAGATGCCTTCAGGCTAAGCCAAAAATCAGTGGGCTTTTCAACATGTCCCCCTCTTGATCTCTACAAACTATTAGGGAGAAGATTCAGTGACTTATATCCTTATATACACCACTCAATCAAAAGTCAGCTGTGGTGGTTTTCTGCTATAAAAGAAAGTTGATGGTAATGTGTAGCTCTGCTCCATAAAGGAGGAGGGAGTCCGGACCTTCAATGGGAAGGTTTGATGACACTCATCGCCCATCATGCTGACAGGCCCTTAGCTTATCATGGATATAGTGACAATTGCTAAGACTTATAAAGTGAGAAGGATAGCTAGCAGCACACAATAAATGGGATAGCTCCAATCACACTGAAGGTTTTGAAAAAGAAATGAATCTCACTTGAAACCATCTTGGCCCAGTTTCTCAAAAGTCCTCAGTATAGAACCTGCCTTCACCAGATGGCCAGGGTTCACTTTAGAAAAGGCAATCCCAAAAGACAAAAGAGTTACAAAAGAGTTTGATAAAAGGGAACACAGAAAGGGGGTTGAGGAAGTCAGAAAAGAAGGTTATAAGAACATAAGTAAAAAATTGGATTTTTATGTTTTTTTAATATCTTTTTTCTTTTTTTCTTTTTACTTGTTTTGTATTTTCTATTGTATTTTTCTGTTTGTGTGATTGTGAGGTGATGTTTTTCTTTGGTGACTGTGAAGTTTGTAATTGCTTTATTCAAAACTTTAATAAATTATATTTTTTTAAAAAAAGAAAAGCAATCCCAAAAGACAAACATTCCCATATGCTTAAATGTTTTGCTTCCACACTCCAGCATATATTTACATTCTTCTATTTTACTCTCAATGAAAGATTCCTTATTCTGAGGCATCTCTTGTTCCTTTTTTACTTTCTTGGAAATAATGAAATGCTCATACAATCAGAGTAAGTGTATTTTGTACCATCAGAATAATTAGTGATCCCTATTCTGTAGTGATAAGAGCATCTGGAAATATAGCAGCTGTTTGAGTCTGATGTAAAAGAGAGAAAGGACACCAAGAAGGTGACTGTTGCTCATGGACTACTGGATCCACACTTCCTACAACATGATATGGAAACCACAAAAAAATGCATGCTTATTTCACTAAGAAATCAATAAGTCAATTACCTCCCTACTGGGGAAAGCAAATATTACTTAATTTGGACCTTGTAAACATTTCCGTTAGAAATGACTTATAGGTATGGCAGCAAAACAACATCAAAGAATGGCTATCTCATATTGTAGCTGCCTACTGAGACATCAATAGCAGCCAGCCCAGCTCAAGTCATTAGTCAATGTCTTGGAGAACAGCCAATATCAGAAACTTCAGGGAAATTCAGTTTCCCCCTAGAAGACATTTGTGGACTCACCTACAGAAAGGGAAATTTCTAGAATCCCTTACAGGAAGGTTTAGGCGATGAAAAATGTGTGGTTTTAACCACACTGCTATAATCATAAATGTCTTAATTATCCACAGAAGTATCTCATCCTATTTGAATCCTGCTAAAACATTTAGGTTTCTGCCCTCAAACCACATATTCTAAAGTAGGACTATCGTAGGATTCAGGCTACAATAGTTCATTCTGGTATGCTCTCTCTGTTTGGCTGACAGAGAGGTGTGTGTGTGTGTGTGTGTGTGCGCACATGTCTGTATTTTCCTTCTTCCAATTAGCTAAAAGAACACCAAAATTATTACCCCATTTTATCAGTGTAAAAACTCTGAGGTGGGTATGGGATAATCAGCCTCATATAGCCAACATGTTTATCTCTAATTAATGTATGAAGGGGTTAAGACCATCAATAGATTTTATTGCGTTAGCCGTGTGGCCATGGTTAAGACCATAGAGTTAGCTGTCCTGCCAGGCTTTGCTAGGTCACCCCCCTTCACCTTAGGAGGAAGGGTTATGAAGCCTTTTTGCACCATGAGAACCCTTCCAGGAAGGAGGTCTAAGCTGGATGTTCCAAGCTTAGACCACATGGTATAAGCAAGCCATTTTTGTGTTTCTATGCAAATAATTTAGAAACTCGCTACTTTGGAATCTAAATCTTATTGCTTGTCTTTTCTGAATGCTGCATGGAGAAGCACATGAAGAAAACCATTTTTAACTTACCAAACAGGTGTTCTTTTTCTATGCTAAGGGAAGTATAATTTAAAGATCTAACAGTATGTATTTCCATGCTCTACTTTGCTACATATTTTATGATTTTAAATTTCTGCTGGGGTTCTCTCACCAAAGAGTATTTGCCCCAAACCTGGATCTTGGCATCCAGGGAATTATCCTTTATACCTATTTTTTCCCCTTGCCACCAACAGCTCTGTGGCATTTGTACGGAGCCCCCGGTCGTCTCACGGACTATTGACCCGTACACCACTAATCCGCTGCCACCAACCAGGTCCTCCCTGGTAAAATCACTTCAGTCTCAGTCAGCTTTTCAATTCATAAAGAAGAGTGTATTTTATTTCAGACTTAAAACAAAACTATTACAGCATTCCAAACAGTGTTCCTCTTTACTTTCTTAGTCTTATGTTCCTCTCTCTATCTCTGCTATCTTCCCCACACTCAAGGACCAACTGCCCTAACTGTCTCTCTATTACCAACTGCCTTTCCCAACCAGCCAACTCACTCAAACCAACCACCCACAACTCCCAACTCTAACTCAGAACTCCTCCCAGAACTCCTTTATAGACCCACTGACTCCACCCCCCTGGGTCCTGTCTGTGCAACCTATTTAACTATTTCCCCTCCAGCACTCTCTCATACATGGTAACGTCACAAGCTCTGAGGAAGAAGGGCAACATCCAAATGTGAGAATAGATGGATGGCATTTTCCTTTAAACATATTTTTCCTTTCACCATAATACAAAAACTACACTAGGATAGGTAGACATTAACTGGCTCAGGGTCACCTAGTTAGTTAAGTGGCTGCAGAGGGATTTGACTGGATCAAGTCTACCTCGCCCGCAACTGGACCTATGAGCCTAAACATATTCCAAATCCACTTAGAGCTTGCACTTTTCTCAGGGAGAGTGGGGGAAGCATGAAATTTCAATTTCAGGTGAAAAATAGGGGCCCTTGCATTTCCTTTTCCCTCTACGTAATTCGCATTTTCCAACAAAATATGTGAATTACAACCCATCTACTTTTCAAATTTTGCAGTTCTCAAATTTTGTAATGCAGGTCTCCAACTAAATAAATGTGGACAAAAATGTATATATTAGGAGAGAACGTGCATAAAATGAATATATTAATGAAAATACAGTATTAAATGTATTATGAGGATATTGCTTGCAAAAATGTGTCTTTCAGGCACAATTGTACACACACAAAAACTGTCTATCAGGAAAAAATTGCAGTAAAATGCTGATTATTTTTATGAGCATGTTTTATAAAATGATGATGATGACGACAAACTTAGGAAGAAATGTGGAGACTTTAAGGACTGCACAAATGAAAAACTGAAAGAAACTTTAACTGCCATATTTGCCGCTCCCTACGATAAGGTCTTCAATGTGATTGCAGCTTGGAACTTGGATCCAAGGACAAGACAACTGCCTTTATTTTCTCTTTTAGAAACCTACTGAAGACTTTTCTATTTCATTAGACTTTTGTCAACTGAACTGTTATTAGTTTTGCCTGTGGCTCACACTGTTAAACACAGGAGTGACTGATGCAGTGTGGCAGTGCTGCGCAGCTTTCCTCCCAACCCCAGCATCACTGCTATATAACTGGACAGGGCAGATTGACAGTAAGGTTGGGGCTCCATTAGAGCACTGGTGGGAGGATTGGATTGGTTCTGCCAGCACACCCGCACAGCCCTGACCTTGCTGCCATTCTGCCCCTCTGCTACACTGTCCCAGGTACAAAGCAGCAGTGCCAGTTTTAGGAGGGTAGCTCCACCATTCCCTGTTATAGGATGCAATCTTACTTGTTGTTTAGTAATGTTTTATGATGGAAGCGGGTGGTGCTGTAGGTTAAACCGCAGAGCCTAGGACTTGCCGATCAGAAGGTCGGCGGTTCGAATCCCCATGACAGGGTGAGCTCCCGTTGCTCGGTCCCAGCTCCTGCCAACCTAGCAGTTCGAAAGCACGTCAAAGTGCAAGTAGATAAATAGGTACCTCTCCGGCAGGAAAGTAAACGGCATTTCCGTGCGCTGCTCTGGTTCGCCAGAAGCGGCTTAGTCATGCTGGCCACATGACCCAGAAGCTGTACGCTGGCTCCCTCAGCCAATAAAGAGAGATGAGCGCCGCAACCCCAGAGTTGGCCACGACTGGACCTAATGGTCAGGGGCCGCTTTACCTTTACCTTTAGCTATGATGGTTTTAATGTAACTGTTTTGTATTTCTACATTTTGTTCACCACTTGGATATTTGTAGAGATAGGCCATCTACTAATTTTCTTTTTAATAAATGGATAAATACAAATAAAATCCTTGTCATGGCTGGTGGCAGCCTTATTCAGAGCAGCACAAGCGTTCCCTTCTTGTTATTGAACATCTTCCCTTCTTTATTCTAATGTATTCATTAAGGCCTAAAACATTACTTGTTTAAGTGTGCCTATTGGCAGGCTTTTCCAAGGCTGTTCCTGACTCACTCCTCCAGAAGGAGAAAATTCTGATGCAGTCCTTAGTAACATATTTCATCTATATTAAAATTGCTTCCTCTGTTTGCTTTTTCCGCCCTTCTTTCTAGTTGAAGAGTAGAAGAAAATAGCCTTGGGGTCTAAGCAGATGTTTTTGAGAAGTGGTGCCTTCTGGGAAGAAAGGAAAAGCAGGTGAGGTCACTAAAAGGTCACTTAGAAAGAGTTTAAAATGCCAGGAATGGCATATTGATTTTTCACTTTTCTTATAAAGAAAAAGTAAGTAAATGCACTCTTAATGTCCTCTGTTCCAACTGCTAGCAATGTTTGTTCTACAGACTATCCAAGCTAAATGGAGCTAACAAATGTATCCTGTGGAACTAGCCTTTTTTAAACCTGCAGGTGAGGGTGTGCAAATAGGACAGTGTTAGCTTCTCTTGGTTTTTCATTTTTCCAGTCTTCAGTTCAGCTATTCACATTTCCCCATCGGTTTGCCATATGAAAATTCTTCAGCATTACAGTGCAAATTCTTCCTGGTATACCCTTTTTTTGCATGGAATTTCCCCTTATATACACATTTTTGCAAAGCACGTGTCTCTGACAATATAAAAACAGATTCTCAGGACCTCAGACGCTGGATTCCTTGCTTGCAAGGCAAATCTTACAGACACAAGGAGCACACACAGTCCTGTCTGTCTGGAGTCCTACAGATCTCTTTGCAATTCATTTGGTAATTGCTTCCATACATCCGTTTTCACGCCAATGTTAATTGTTTCCATTTAGTTCCTTATCTCTGACATACATTCCTATCTCAGCGCTTCACTTTGAAAGTGGAGCCAGTCCCTGAAGTCATTGCTTTCATTTTGGCTGGCTAGCTGGAATTCCATTGTTAACCAAAGACAGTCGAGAAACCATTGACCCAGAGTTGGAATGGACAGGCTTTAAATCAGAAATAAACTGCATGGGATGTAGTTGGACTAAAAATAATCAAGGTTAGTAAGAAGAAAAGCACTTGATGGATAGTGAAAATCCACCTAACAATTGAACAGAAACGAAAGGAGCCAATAGGTAGGTACACTTCTGTCTGTTTGACAAATCCCTTTATCTGTTAACAAAATCCATGTTTCTTGCATGTCTCAAAAGGATCAGTTTCTTTTATGCTAGTGATGCTGCAAAACCATCAGCCTATTTTTGCTATCCCATAAGAATCTGGCTCTTTCATTACTAGTTTTGAGCAAGCCCCCATCCCCTGCTGGAAGTTTGCCAGGGATGACTTCACGTGTGATTAATGGAAGCCCTATCTGGCTACGTTGCACAGCAGTAGCAGCTAATGATCAAAACACCTCCTCCTATTAAGTTACCAAGTGAGTTTCAAACTGTTGGTCTGGCAAGAGTTCTGTTTTCACCACCACAGGCTTTCCTTGGTTCAAACTACAGGGATGCAGGTGGCGCTGTGGGTTAAACCACAGAGCTTAGGACTTGCAGATCAGAAGGTCGGGGGTTCAAATCCCCGCAACAGGATGAGCTCCCGTTGCTCAGTCCCTGCTCCTGCCAACCTAGCAGTTCGAAAGCACATCAAAGTGCATCCTGGAGAAGTGTGACTAGTGGGGTGCCACAGGGTTCTGTCTTGGGCCCGGTCTTATTCAACATCTTTATCAACGACTTGGATGATGGACTCAAGGGCATCCTGATCAAATTTGCAGATGACACCAAACTGGGAGGGGTGGCTAACACCCCAGAGGACAGGATCACACTTCAAAATGACCTTGACAGATTAGAGAACTGGGCCAAAACAAACAAGATGAACTTTAACAGGGAGAAATGTAAAGTATTGCACTTGGGCAAAAAAAATGAGAGGCACAAATACAAGATGGGTGACACCTGGCTTGAGAGCAGTACATGTGAAAAGGATCTAGGAGTCTTGGTTGACCACAAACTTGACATGAGCCAACAGTGTGACACGGCAGCTAAAAAAGCCAATGCAATTCTGGGCTGCATCAATAGGAGTATAGCATCTAGATCAAGGGAAGTAATAGTGCCACTGTATTCTGCTCTGGTCAGACCTCACCTGGAGTACTGTGTCCAGTTCTGGGCACCACAGTTCAAGAAGGACACTGACAAACTGGAACGTGTCCAGAGGAGGGCAACCAAAATAGCCAAAGCCTGGAAACGATGCCTTATGAGGAACGGCTAAGGGAACTGGGCATGTTTAGCCTGGAGAAGAGGAGGTTAAGGGGTGATATGATAGTCATGTTCAAATATTTAAAAGGATGTCATATAGAGGAGGGAGAAAGGTTGTTTTCTGCTGCTCCAGAGAAGCGGACACGGAGCAATGGATCCAAACTACAAGAAAGAAGATTCCACCTAAACATTAGGAAGAACTTCCTGACAGTAAGAGCTGTTCGACAGTGGAATTTGCTGCCAAGGTGTGTGGTTAAGTCTCCTTCTTTGGAGGTCTTTAAGCAGAGGCTTGACAACCATATGTCAGGAGTGCTCTGATGGTGTTTCCTGCTTGGCAGGGGGTTGGACTCTATGGCCCTTGTGGTCTATTCCAACTCTATGATTCTATGAAAGTGCAAGTAGATAAATAGGTACTGCTCCGGTGGGAAGGTAAACGGTGTTTCCGTGTGCTGCTCTGGTTCGCCAGAAGTGGCTTAGTCATGCTGGCCACATGACCCGGAAGCTGTACGCCGGCTCCCTTGGCCAATAAAGCGAGATGAGTGCCACAACCCCAGAGTCGGCTACGACTGGACCTAATGGAGCTTTACCCTTTACCTTACAGGGCAATCACAGAGGTATGTTGAACATGCAGTTTGTCTTGTTCACAAACACCTATACAGTGGTACCTCGGGTTAAGTACTTAATTCGTTCAGGAGGTCCGTTCTTAACCTAAAACTGTTCTTAACCTGAAGCACCACTTTAGCTACTGGGGCCTCCCGCTGTTCATAACCTGAAGAGTGGCTGGGGAAACCCAGCCAGATGGGCGGGGTATAAATAATAAATTAGTAGTAGTAGTAGTAGTAGTAGTAACCCAAGGTACCACTGTAAAGCTGGTGGACCCAGAAAGATTACAGCCGGGCTATACTAAACAGAGTTTGTTACAGAGGAGAAGGAAAATTGTTCACAACCCACCCCACCCTACCTAGCACTACACAACACTGCATTGCAGTGAAGTGGTTAGATCGAAGGTCTAGGACCTGGGAGACCAGGGTTCAAATTCCTGCTCAGGATGCTCACCTTGGGGCCGTCATGGTCTCTCAGCCTAACTTATCTCACAGGGTTATTGTGAGGATTAGATAGGGGTAGGAACAATGATGTACACCATCTAGAGCTCCGGTGGCAGTGGAAATGAGACATAAATATAATAATAAATTGGTGTTTTTTTAAAGTGCTTGGTTCACTTTTGAGGGCTATGTGCTTCAGAGCTACGAAGAGCACAAGGTAACACAGGGAAAGGGGGAAGATTTCAAGCCCCTCTTCTCTGGGCTCATATTTTGTGTAAAAAGTAGACCTCCATTCCTCTACGTTATATGTGAATGGAGCAACTATGTGTATACAACTTTTCATTAAAGCACATTCTTCTCCTCAGAGAATTCTGGATACTGTAGTTTACCCCTCACAAAATTACAGTTCCTAGCAACCCTTAAGAAACTATAGTATCCATAATTCTTTTTGGGGGGGGGATGTACTTCAAATATGCTTTAAATGTACAGTGTGTATACAGCCTGTGTGTAACAAACTCTGCGATACATAACTAGTTTGGCCATACATTTGGAGAACAGTGGAGCCCCACTTCATAAAATGTGTAACAGGAGAGCCAACCCAGTGCCATTTTATAGTACAGTAGACTCCTAGCTGCCAGCCCTAGGCATGTAGGTCTAAAAAAGGGGGGCCAATTAATATATTATCCAGTGTATGTATTCCTGTTCCACTTTTGTTGTCAGAATTGCAGATTAAGAGATTGGATTTCCTTTCCCCAGAGGCCAATCAACACATTTCCTTCCCCCAGAGGCCAATCAACACATACATAAAGTGACACAAGGAAAACCCTTCAAGCACTTGCTTTACCCCTTTCACTGACCCATAGTTTTAAGGCGAAATCTGCTTCTATTGCTGTGCAGCAACCCAGCACCTAACTGCCTCAATAGCAGACTTTGTTTCAATAAGAATAGGCAAAAATACTACACTTGCTCTGGCAGCAACTGCCACATGAGATATCTTTTCTCCCAAAGAGGTTGGGTACTCCCTTCTTAGCCCACTCAGACACAGGAAGTGATTCCCCTTCTTTGCTTTTCTCAGATTAACCATGGTTTGCATTTTATGTGTACTGATGCAAATCATAACTGACAAACAATAATCCCCTCAAAAACCACAGATGGTAATCACGGTCTTCAAAGTGTTTGCAAACCATGGTCACGGTGCACTTGGTTTGTGCTAACCATGGCTTGTTTGGGTGCAAGTGTAATGTGAAACCATGTTTAATGCTCAGAAAGGAGGGAGAACACCCCAGAGATTAAGAAAAGGCTGGCTCCCAGTTTGCAAACCATTGTTTCCCAGGGAGCCAGTGGTATGTCTGCCACAGGCCGGTATGATACCCATGAGTCTTTCACCTTTTTAAATGATGTCTGAAATCACGTCGCAGTTATAGCGTCTGGGTTTCATTAAGCTACCTAACAAATTAATTACTTGAAAAATTAGATGTAATGCATCGCAAAATCTAAGTGCTGCTGAACTTACATTTAGTACATAGCTGTAGAAGATGTTAGCTAAATCACAGACAATGATGAGTGAAGTTTGGCTTCAACTGGCGGTGAGTGTTGGCTGGGTGAATGTGTGACTAAGTAGCAATAAAGATTTTAGTAGATGCTGGAAAATCCAAAGCCTGATTAATGTATCTGTGAAAACTTCTCTATGAAAGCCAAGCCGTTATCTCTAGATAGCTACGAGTCGCCATTAAAAATTGAGTTAAAGCTATGGGAAGAGTTGAATTCTCAGGCCTCATTCACAAACAGCATTGCCCTCGTGGGAATACCCTTTTTATGTATATGATGTCACAACAAGAGGTTTTTAGTAGCCTGATTTGTTCGCAGTCGTACCAGAGACTTGACAACATTCTGGGTGTAAAAAAGGGAGATGCGGCTTGAAAATGGAGTTTTAGCTGCACAGACACAATGGTGGGATTTATTTTAAACTTG